TCTCTACATGACCAACGTGTGGGGTGTTCTGGGTCCCTCCCACTTCCTCACCATTAGGAATCTACTTGTGTAGCTCCGCCCATGCCCCCGCCCCGGAGGAGCCGATGTAGTCTGTCTGGGGCACTTGTGTCTAACTCAAGGCCCAGGGGCCGAATCCGTCTCGCAGATACCTCTGAGGGCAACTAGAATGCGGATGCGGCCCACCGTTACATGGAGTTTGGGGGCCCCGCACAGGTCATGGGAGGTTTGGTAACGCCCCCTTTTCTCTCCTCCAGTCATCCTTCACCTCTTCGTCCTCCATGACTTTGATAAGAGCGGATTCCTGGACGGCCTGGAGCTCCTGCGTCTCCTGCGCAGAATCCTCGCCAAACACCTGCAGAGGGACCCGGCGGAGGAATCGGTGAGTTCCATTGGCGGGATCTCCTCCTCCATGCAGCTGTGACACGGGGACTGTGCTGGGGGGGGGCCCCGGGAGCCAATCACATCTCTATATAGAGGGATCAGGACCTCCTTCCTCCTGCTGGGGACCCCTCTAGTGATAGATCTATATAGAGGGATCAGGACCTCCTTCCTCCTGCTGGGGACCCCTCTAGTGATAGATCTATATAGAGGGATCAGGACCTCCTTCCTCCTGCTGGGACCCCTCTAGTGATCTATATAGAGGGATCAGGACCTCCTTCCCCCTGCTGGGGACCCCTCTAGTGATAGATCTATATAGAGGGATCAGGACCTCCAGGATCGGCTCCGGTATGTCATGTGATGAGATGTCATGTGATGTGATGTCATGTGATGTGATGTCATGTGATGAGATGTCATGTGATGTGATGTCACGCGGTGTGAATGTGTCGGGTGAATCTCTGTGTCTCCTGCAGGTGGTGTTTCTGGTGGATGACATTTTGGGGACACGAGACCTGAACCAGGACGGTCTGCTCAGCGCCCAGGAACTTGTCACACCGCCAGTCTCTAAAGCTGAGGACTCGCCTCCTGTTAACGTGGCCCTTCCCATCCCCCCGGGGGCCCGTACCGGAGCCTCACCTTCCGAGGATGATCCTCAATCACAGACTGACACCTCAGAAGACGAGCCAGCTCCTCCATCAGGGACCGCCCAGGAGGAGCCCGCTGCGACCAATCATGAAGCTGCATCAGTGCAGAGAGCCAATGAGAGTGAAGAAGCGGAAGAAGATGACGGAGAGATACAAGTCGCGCAGGAGGAGATGTGAATGTTGTCACCTTCATGTTGTCACCTCCAACGTGATCACCACTATGAAGAGCTTCCCCGTGGGAGGCCACACCCAGTGCCTATTGTGACTGACCAATCAGGGACATTGTTGAAGGAAACCGCTGGCAGGTTATTGGTCATCACCAGAGAAAGGCGCAGCAATAAGCTCCACCCATTGGGACTAAACTTGATGGAAAGATGGCCACACCCCCGCACGGTGACCCCACGCCAAGAACTACCAATGAACTTTGCCCAGAGACCCCGTGTGGTGACAACTGAACGTTTCTGGAGGTCCTCAGCTGTCCTTGGAGGACCTCGGAAATATTTATTATGATGGATAGAACCTCAATAAACGTAATCTTCCTGCCTGGTGTCCCCGGGGTCACTTCTATACACACCGAGACAGGAAATGTCCCCATTGTGGGAGGGGCAGAGACAGACTACTGGGGGGAGGTCTCACCATTGTGGGAGGGGCAGAGAAACCAACCACTGGAGGAGATCTCACCATTGTGGGAGGGGCAGAGACAGACTACTGGGGGGAATCTCACCATTGTGGGAGGGGCAGAGACACCAACTAACAAACATGAGGAAAACTCCCATCATCGCCCTTAACTAATATGGCGGCTTAATAGGTCCATGTTGTTTCTCTCCTCCTGACATGTGACCCATACCGGTGACACACATGGCGGTGAGGGGGGCTTCTGTGGTAAGACTTGGTGCGGATGAAATCAATCATTTTAGTTCTGGGGTCGGCTGACTGTGAACTGTCGGTGCTGCAACCATAGCGCCTCACTCTACTCCGGAGATGCCTGCGTACAATACGAGGGTCCATCCACCATCTGCCGATTGTAAAGACACCATCACCTTGCCGCGGTGGGATAGCGGGCATGTCCAGGTGAGCCATGGAGGTGAGCCATGGAGGTGAGCCATGGAGGTGAGACATGGAGGTGACATGGAGGTGAGCCATGGAGGTGAGCCATGGAGGTGACATGGAGGTGAGCCATGGAGGTGAGACATGGAGGTGAGCCATGGAGGTGACATGGAGGTGACATGGAGGTGAGCCATGGAGGTGACATGGAGGTGAGACATGGAGGTGAGCCATGGAGGTGACATGGAGGTGAGACATGGAGGTGACATGGAGGTGAGACATGGAGGTGAGACATGGAGGTGAGCCATGGAGGTGACATGGAGGTGAGACATGGAGGTGAGACATGGAGGTGAGCCATGGAGGTGACATGGAGGTGAGACATGGAGGTGAGCCATGGAGGTGACATGGAGGTGAGACATGGAGGTGACACATGGAGGTGAGCCATGGAGGTGACATGGAGGTGAGACATGGAGGTGAGACATGGAGGTGACATGGAGGTGAGACATGGAGGTGAGACATGGAGGTGAGCCATGGAGGTGACATGGAGGTGAGACATGGAGGTGAGACATGGAGGTGAGCCATGGAGGTGACATGGAGGTGAGACATGGAGGTGAGCCATGGAGGTGACATGGAGGTGAGACATGGAGGTGACATGGAGGTGAGACATGGAGGTGAGCCATGGAGGTGAGACATGGAGGTGAGCCATGGAGGTGACATGGAGGTGAGAAATGGAGGTGAGCCATGGAGGTGACATGGAGGTGAGACATGGAGGTGAGACATGGAGGTGAGCCATGGAGGTGACATGGAGGTGAGACATGGAGGTGAGCCATGGAGGTGAGCCATGGAGGTGACATGGAGGTGAGACATGGAGGTGAGCCATGGAGGTGACATGGAGGTGAGACATGGAGGTGACATGGAGGTGAGACATGGAGGTGAGCCATGGAGGTGAGATGGAGGTGAGACATGGAGGTGAGACATGGAGGTGAGCCATGGAGGTGACATGGAGGTGAGACATGGAGGTGAGCCATGGAGGTGACATGGAGGTGAGACATGGAGGTGAGCCATGGAGGTGACATGGAGGTGAGACATGGAGGTGAGACATGGAGGTGAGCCATGGAGGTGACATGGAGGTGAGACATGGAGGTGAGCCATGGAGGTGACATGGAGGTGAGACATGGAGGTGACATGGAGGTGAGACATGGAGGTGAGCCATGGAGGTGAGATGGAGGTGAGACATGGAGGTGAGACATGGAGGTGAGCCATGGAGGTGACATGGAGGTGAGACATGGAGGTGAGCCATGGAGGTGACATGGAGGTGAGACATGGAGGTGACATGGAGGTGAGACATGGAGGTGAGCCATGGAGGTGAGATGGAGGTGAGACATGGAGGTGAGACATGGAGGTGAGCCATGGAGGTGACATGGAGGTGAGACATGGAGGTGAGACATGGAGGTGAGACATGGAGGTGACATGGAGGTGAGACATGGAGGTGAGCCATGGAGGTGACATGGAGGTGAGACATGGAGGTGAGCCATGGAGGTGACATGGAGGTGAGACATGGAGGTGAGCCATGGAGGTGAGCCATGGAGGTGACATGGAGGTGACATGGAGGTGAGCCATGGAGGTGACATGGAGGTGAGCCATGGAGGTGAGCCATGGAGGTGAGACATGTACGGTGATGGTCTGGACAGGAAGTTGGGTTGCCGACCTGTCCTGTACAATTCCGCTTGGTGACCAGTGCTTAGGTACTGCTCAGGAACCCGGGACCAGACCAAGACGGGACTAAATGTGGTCTCAGGGTCTGGAGGTCTACTTACCAAAGGATGTCCCAATTCCCTCTGTCAGGTAGACCCTCATCCGGCTGTACCGGTGTGTTCATGTGCCGGGGGCCGTCCTCACACCTCACCGCTTGGGGGATAAAGTCCATTGGGTGCCCATACATACATTGGCATGATCTGACCTCCTCGGGGACCAGGCACCGGGTACGTAGGCATTTATTCTGAGTTCACCAAGAAGAGGGAGCAGACCAGCCTGGTGCAGATGTCCTTGCGGGGGAAGGGAGGGAATTGGCTTCCTATTGTATCTGAGCAGTCCTTCTTCTGAGGGAGGTCCTGGGGCAGTCAGTGGACTTCAGGGATGAACTCATAGAAGGGCAGATATCTCACAGGGAAGGAGAAGAGGGAGATGGAGTGCTCGATCTTCCATGACACGGATAGCAGGGCTCATACAATACTTCCGGTCCTACATGGAAGGAGGGGACCCGGATCACAGGAGGATTCCCAACCCCCCACCTGCGTCTTGTCACCCTAATACATTAGTGACACTCGAGGTCACCTCCTCCTATGGGGCGGTCTGCAGGCAAAGCCCAGAGGGGTCACTGAAGGTGTACAAACAACGAAGTCTGTATAAGAGGCTGGAACCTCCCCTCCGTGTGTGACTCCTCCCCTCCGTGTGTGACTCCTCCCCTCCGTGTGTGACTCCTCCCCTTCTCATCCCA